TCTGCGCCTTTTCGACAAGTTCCATGAACCCTCGTATGATTTACATTTGCGGAACGACCTCCTCGTCCCCTGCTCCCCGGATGGTACCGGTCAAGAGATGGGCAACTTAAGACTTGATGGGACAGTGTCAGAGGTTATAGCGAACTGCTCTCTGAGCCGGCAGAAGAACAAACAGTGAAAGAAAAACTGGCAAAATGTGGTGGCTATCCCGACCTACTATTGGAGTTGTGTTGTGTACACCAGAAATGATGACAACTTCAGCAACCAACTGAATCAAGCAACATTGAAGGAATCTGAACTTCACATTAGATCACTCCTCTTGAAGATCAAAATTCTTCAGTACACTCTGCCTGAAGAGCAAACTTTATAGCCTATTTATGAGGAGAACTTATGAATTTATGAGTTCAATAAACAATTTATCAGAAGAATAACTCAGACTACTTTCCGTGCTTCACATAGCCATCGAAAAATCAGTAGGTCGATCAACCCCATGAAAGAGATTTCTACCATGTCAGGATTTCTTCCGTACTACAAACAGCCTTGTCAAGCATGTTCAAGCTATAAGCACCTGCCAAATAACTGAGTTCGAAACCTCGTAACGTCTGAACATCGCCTCGTACAGAACGAACAGCGACTGGCGTAGCATTTGAGACAGTGGACTGGCTGTCTGCATTTCCGTGCATTCTGATAATCGAAAAGAAATGGCCTCCGGCTGGTGGCAATCGGCTTTACAGTCCGCCTGTTTAAACACAATTGTCGGCTCTGCGAAGTGCCTGCGCCGTGCTGAGAGTCTGCACAACATACACGGGGTTGTAAACTGTTCGAGAAACATCCTTCGATGTCATGTCTCGTGAAGCGCTGAATATCAATACGCAGAGATGAGGTATGAGGGCACAAGTGCTCTGCAAAAAAACATGGGGACTTTCAGGAATCGTTGACGTAAGCTGGTGCATAAAACCGATAGTAGTACATTAATTAATTCAAAAAGGAACTACCGTACATTTGATACCACTGAAAAAATACCGATCGGTTTGAATCGCAGATGGGAAGCTAAGATGCACTAGAAATATTGTGATGAAGCCAGAAAATGAGTATTCTGTGCCAAATAAAATGCACCACAATTAAAAACCGCAGAACAACAAGATAACTTGCTTGAATTATTAGCACATCTGCTGCTGACTAAAAGATTATAACAAGACTCATGACAAGGTTATTATCGTGACCCAAGGGTTTCGCATATATGAATATACACTCTTACCTTACGGAAGGCTGCCAGCGCCCGGTAAAGCTCCGTGTTCGGTATATTGCCAACAGTGACACTCTGAGGCCTAAAAATTCGTGCTCAATGTTTCGGCGTGATCCAAGGCTCAATACAAAGCAGATTTACCATTGCGACCGGAATACCACGGTCAGAAGGGCAAAGACAATGCTCGCTGCTAAGCCGTATGTGATATCCAGAAGAACCACGGAGCAAAAGCTGAACACCCAAATGGACTAAATCGACGAACTTATACATCTTCACAACGTTCTATGTTATTGTTATTACGAAATCAATTTTCGACTGGCGCCATAACGACGGAAGAGCTCCAAACTGCCGGAACGTTCCTCTCAGTGCAACTATGATGATCGCAGCCAAAACGCACTAAACGTACACATCTAATGAAGATCA